CGTTTGAAAACATTTTTAAAGATCAGATAACTCTGAAAGAACATGCTATAAATGATACTGGGAGGACGTTTTTCACCATGCAAGAACATTTAACCACAGTTCTAATGTTCCCTGTTAGCTGGGGATTTGGCATTTTCATTGTGGCCTGTATATTTAAGGGCAAGAAAACACTAAAAAGAAACACCATTTTAAAACTCCCTTGGCTATGTCCAGGTGAGTATGTGTGTTATCAGACTCATCAGTGAGGGCAGTCTCGGGCTAAAGAGTCAAAGAGTCGGGCGGCTGCCCGCAGGCGCCATATTTCAAACATGCTTTCAATGAGCTGGGCTGGACCGACTCTGAGCTAAAGACTGGCAACTCACTTAAGAGGAGGTGAAAAAAAACACATTCATTGACAGAACAACTTGTCGGTATCCTCTACTATGTGATTACTGAGTACACATGGGGGAGAGCGAGGGGGTGAACAGACACATGCTTTTAGGGATTTCAAAGACTCACAGGACTCTCAACATCAAATCAGAAGAGAATGCTAACATGCTAAGCTAAAAGGTAAACAAACCATTATGATTGCCTTTTAAATCTCAATGAATTACCTCACAGGCCTAAATCAACAGAAAGATGGTGATCTAAGTGTGTGTGTGTGTGTGTGTGTGTAAGACCAGAAGTGGGGTGTGGAGTGGCACATGGGTGTTATATCGTCTGAGGAGCTTTCTTGGTGTTTAGCATACCCATATGAACACTCGGAACACTTATTTTACAACAGAGAGATCCAAACAACCAATACACAACATACAAGGGAATATTCTCCTCTTCAGTTTAAGCGGACAGCCTCTTGAAACTCACTATCCTTTTTCATTGTCTGAAGTGCCTCTGGTGACACAAAAGCACAGAAACACACACACACACCTTGCGTGATTTGTGGGGGTTTGAAGTCGTGAGATCAAATCGGACGTGTTAGGTGCCTGACAGCTGTATACTTCAAACAATGCCCGAATTACAGCTAACATCCCTCCTGTAGCTTCACCTCTGCTGGCTTCAGCCGTGCCAAAATGCTTAGTCTGTGTGGGAATGTAAGTGTATGCATTTAGATGTGTGTGTGTGTGTGTGTGTGTGTAAATGAAACATCGCAACTCATAAAAATGGAGGACCGCTCTAATCTGCTATTTAGCAGCGGTCCGGTCATCTGTACAAGGGCAAAAAACAACACAGCTGCTATGGGTCTCACACACTTACTCACAGGCAAAGTTGCCATTTCTTGTGTGGTCTTACTCTTCACAGCTGATAGAAAAATAAAATCTCACAAAAATTTGAATTATTGGAAACCTTACATTAACTTTAATTGCATTGTTGCATGAAAAATATGTCTTTAAAAGATATGAACTATACAGAGTTTAAAAAATCACATCTTTGGATGACTGTTTACTTACGTAAAACAGTTCTTAGGCAGTTTGTATGCTCATATACTCATGCGCTTTTATATCAAATTAACATTTGACCTCTTACTCCCCATTTACCCCCTCCTGTCCGCTTAGCTTCACTAAGACATGCAGGAGTACAGCAGTGTGATAAAATGTCCATGAGTAAATCATGCTCAAACAAAGCTTTCACTAAAAAAAAAAAATTGATTTGTTACAACTAAGGGCTTTTTGGTGAAGATCTCAATTTCATCTGCCTAATCTGGCAATTAGAGGTGTGTGTTGAGTGTTTGAAAGTCGTCTGGCTAATCTGACCATCTGCTTCTTATCAGCGTTTCTTTTATTTTTTAAATGTGTGGATTTATTTATTTATCTAAAGGATCTATTAGAGCAGCAGGCAGCCACATCTCTCTGCAGTCAATCAGATAGCAGCCTACCAACCTAGATGTGTGTGTGGGGGGGTTTGCGTGGGAATGGTTTTGGGCTTAGTAGGTAGAGTTTGGTTTAAGTTATAGAAAATATAATTAACCTCATATAAATTCAATTGAAGTCTATGCAATGCCCTGACTACAGTGAAACAAACGTGTGTGTTGTCTATATAGAAATCCACTAGAGGGCGCCGTCTCATCTGAGGGCCTGCCAGCTTGATTTAAGCAGGAAACTCTCTGTTGTTTTTTGCCAGGCTGTCTTCTGTGTGTGTGTGGAGTGTGTGTAGTTTCTCTGAGGTCCAACAAAAACAACATGCAGAGGAAGGGGTGAGGGGGAGACAGGGCAAAGGATTATGGGGGCACAGAGAGCAACCCAGTCGCCTTTTTGCACAGCAGGAGTACCTCACTGACTTTATGCGAACTTAGAAATTATACAATAATTAATGGCTACAAGTAATATTTTAATAAATCTGAATGCCGTGAATAATAATGCCAAGATATGAACCATGACATTGCATATTGCTTGCCTTTAAAGTAATTTCAAAGTACAACAGGTGTTTTGAGGGGTAAAGACCCATCAGGGATCTAATCTACTTAGCCTATGATGACTTTCAGTATGCACTTTATAAAATAAAAGTTGCAAAAGGGGTTTTTGATAAGAACCATTTTGGCTTCCCTAAAAAAACATTTTTTTAATGTGAAGAACATTTTAACAAACTAAAGAAGAACTTTTTTTATGCCAATAAGCATTTTTTTTTTTATGATCGGTCAATCTGTTTGACATGTGCTATTGTGTTTTCAATTAGCCAAGTTCACCTTAAAATGTCTGGTGAGTATGTCTTTCAAAATGAGTTCTGAATCTCAATCTTGAGATGTTTACAAACTGAAAAAAAAGATCATACCACAGATTCAGTGTGCAGAATGAAACCACAATCTGATGCCACAAGTGGACATGTGCAGACAGTATCCTCAGAATAAATGGTGAACATCCTCTTATTCAAATGTATGTCTTAAGTGCCACTATTCACACATTTTATATCTAATCTGATTAAACAAATTTGCCAGGGATGCATTTCATGCCTCTGTTTTCTTTACATTATTTTTCAGTAGTCACACATTTACTTCACACTGTGATTGAAGTGTTATAATATAAGCTATAATTATTTCCCCCCCTATTATAAATAATTGCGATCCAGCATTTGAGTTAAAGATACGTGATTGAGAAGATCTCCATGTCGCAGTGTTGTGGAGAGTGACACTGATAGGTTTTGATTGATGGATTACACACTGATCCTGCTAAATGTGATTGCACGTTAATTTAAGGAGTGTAGTGCGTGAAACAAGATTTGTAGGCCCATGTGTAAATAGTGGTGCATATAGCCTATATGCAAAGACCAATTTAACAGAGAGGTCATAAGAACTTCTTGGACGATAATCCGTCGAATAGGAAAAATAAGTTAGGTGTAGCCTATAGTTTTCCTGTTTGTTTTGAATGTGAATTGCTTTCTATTCAGCCTAAGCTATTTCGCTTTAACTGCCCCTTTTCAGGTGCTACAAATTGGGTGTAACGCGTGAACAGCGCGTCCTTGAGAAACTCGTTAATGTCAAATGCGTCGTTTCCTTTTGTTTTTGTTTATTTTGAGAGTTTGTGTCTGCTATTATCATGCAAATAAATGCAAGAAATTGCGAATTATATTCACACATATCCAAATCCTTTGCTGACATGTCTAATCTAATCACTAAATACACTCGGAGAGCTTTAAGACAGCGAACAATGTATTTTTTATTAGAACCGCTGGAATTAGCCTATGAACTCCGAAAGGAAGGTTTTTTACGAATAAATATTAGGCCTATAGGCTAGTGCACGTGAAGCTAGCTAGTTAGTTAGTTAGTTGGTTTGTTAGTTAGTAGGTATATGATGTAATATTGTTAAATGTAATGTTAAAGGAACATGTGAGTTTGTATTTTTTTTTTTTTTTCGTTTAAGGGTTTTAATAATGTGTCTGCAGGTAAATCTCTTATTAAAGAGGCTCCACTGTAGTGGAAGTCGAGTGTTTGAAGTGACTGCATGTCACCTTCATGTAATGTTTGAGTGAGAGGAAATCACAGAGCATTGCCTCTTTTACATTATCATTTGGTCACTAGGCGTTGGTTTCACTGGGAACCTGTCTGAAACCTGTTTAGGCTTGCTTGCTAATAAGTGTAATTGTAGGCTAGTGTCATGTAGTCAGATCGATCGTGTAAACTGACAGTAGCCTAAATAATTAAAACTTACAGTGTTAACTGATTGAAAAAAAAATGTCGTTCAATTAGGCTATTTTTACATGCACTCGGAGTATTTTAACGGAAAGCGCATGTTGAGAACATCTTGGATAGCCTAATATAGAACATTTCAGATGGCTATAAGAAAAAGAAAAAAAAGTGTAGCCCAGTCTATAGATTTCCTGTTAGTTTTGAATGCGAAATTATATTTAATGTCGTTCAATTAGGCTATTTTAAACGGAATTTCTCTTAAACGGGGTATTTTCTTAAATCATGCTTTACTGCAACAATCTTTCCATTTATATAGGCCTAACATTGTTTCCATCCATTTAACTTGTCTCTTTCTGTCACGCTCGATTAAATGAGTCCTCCATCGTAATTAAATTCAAAAGTGTTGGAAAATGTTTATACGTTTTTGCTATAGCACATAAAACGTTCAGGAAGCAATTTAACTAATCTCATTTGACGGAACAATAGGCAATAAAAATAGGCCTAATTCGTGTAGGCTATTATTTATTTGATAAATGTTTAAGTCTGTATGACATGAATGAACAAATGTTAAGGAAAAGTTAACAACATCCATTGAAATCCTGCGACTGTGACTCATTTTTATTTTAAAAGTGCCGTAAATGAGACGTGACGCAAAAATATTTTGTCAGACAATTTAAGCTAAATCTAACTTGAAAGACGAGCAAGCCATTACTTTTTCATTAAGAAGAAAAACAAAGAGTTAAGCTCACTTTGTTGACACACACACTCGCTCCTGCCGACTGCGTGGCCCGGGGGGGCCGTGGTGGGTGGGAGAGTGTGTGTGTGTGTGTGTGTGGAGATAAGGGGTCCGATATATGGGTTCAGAGGGAGGGGTGAGAAGTCTGGAGTTTAAAAAGACAGGGCGCTTCTCTCCCTCACACAGACGCGCTTCAGCTTCCAGTGAGGGAAACTTACCCCAGACTCTCGTTTCAGTCAGAAGAGTCCAAACATTCCATCTGAACTCTCAGAGATTCGGATAAAACTGCACAAAAAGAAAAAAAAAAAAAAGAAGAAAAATCCTGAAGGACTCAAAGCTCAACCAAATGGAGCCAACGCCGGAATACGCCGACACGTATGACTATTATGACTATAACGATACTGGATGCGACTACTCGGAGTGGGAGCCGTCTTATTCTCTCATCCCCGTGCTGTACATGCTCATTTTTATCCTCGGTCTCTCCGGGAATGGCGTGGTTATCTTCACTGTCTGGCGCGCGAAATCCAAACGCCGCGCGGCAGATGTTTACATCGGTAACCTGGCGCTCGCGGACCTGACGTTCGTCATCACGTTGCCGCTGTGGGCCGTGTACACCGCGCTGGGTTACCACTGGCCGTTTGGCGTGGCTCTCTGCAAGATCAGCAGTTACGTGGTGCTGGTCAACATGTACGCAAGTGTCTTCTGTCTGACCTGCCTGAGTTTTGACCGCTACCTTGCAATCGTCCACTCTCTGTCCAGTGGCCGGCTCCGATCCCGTGGCACCATGCTGGCGTCTCTGGGTGCCATCTGGTTCCTCTCGTGCCTGCTGGCCGTGCCGACTCTCCTGTTCCGCACTACAGTGAATGACGCTGGGAACAACCGCACCACCTGTGCGATGGACTTCAGCATGGTCGCTCACAGTCAGGACCACGAATCCCTTTGGATTGCGGGTCTGAGCCTTTCCTCCTCCGCTCTCGGATTTCTTCTGCCCTTCTTGGCCATGACTGTCTGCTACTGCTTCATCGGCTGCACGGTCACCCGCCATTTCAGCCACCTGCGCAAGGAAGACCAGAAGAAGCGCCGTCTTCTCAAGATTATCACCACCCTGGTGGTGATCTTCGCATTCTGCTGGACGCCTTTCCATGTGCTGAAAAGCATGGATGCCCTGTCCTACCTGGACCTGGCACCCACCTCGTGTGGCTTCCTCAACTTCCTGCTTCTAGCTCATCCTTACGCCACATGCCTGGCATACATCAACAGCTGCCTCAACCCGTTCCTCTACGCGTTCTTTGACCTGCGGTTTCGCTCGCAGTGCCTGTGTCTGCTGAACCTGAAGAAGGCCATGCATGGGCACATGAGCTCCATGTCCTCAACCCTCAGCGCCCAGACTCAAAAGTCGGAGGTGCAGTCGCTGGCCACCAAAGTGTGAGGGATTTCAATGAGAAGAACAGAAAACATGAAGTTGAAGAGAAAACACTGGGTTGAAGGGGTTCAAAAAAAAGCTGGAGATCTACTGACGGCTGGTCCGTTCTGACTGGCGGTGAACTGATGGACTTTGGAGAACATATTGCTTTATGTTTGTAAATAACACTCATAGTTTGGTGTACTCTACTGTATTCGTGGATGAAGTGCCGGAATGATGTGACTTTGTCTGAATGCATGTGTGAATTTATGTTTGCTGACACCTTTTCGTCAGCTTTGACACACTCAAAATCAGGTCAGATTTGACACAAACAATGCTGACCACAGTGATTCTGCTCTGAGGATGAACTAGAGTCCCAGACTGCAACATGGTGTCGGCCCAGATTCGGCTCACATCTGGACTGTGTGGAATCCACGTGTGGGCCGGATCTGGGCTGACACCATGGGTTGTGCTGTTGTAAGAGTGTGCGTTTGTGTTGAAGCCTGTATACACTGGTGTAGAGATGCAAATTGTACAGTATTTTCGTACTATTTTCCTTTCTGCTAAGAAAATGTTCAGAAATGTGTTCAGTATCTGTAGCACTTGTTAAGAGGAGATATAAAAAATTATAATTTTTGTTAAACTCCCTGATGTGAATGTGTGTGTTTTTTTGATGAGCGTGTGTGAGTGTGTTTCAGTGCAAAGGTGATGCTGCTTGATTAGATAGTTTAAAGCGCAGACAGAGAGTCAGGGTTTGGGGTGGGGTGGGACGGGGGTGTTTGGGGTGGGGGGGTTGTGGAGACAGACAGACAGATGGCTGGTGACAAATGTCTCTGGGAAAAAAAAGGAAGGCAAGTGGAGGAAGGGAACAAATTTGTGGGGTGTAAATTGATATATATTCATGAAATAATGTTATATTTTTTGAAACTTCTGTAACTAACTACTGCAACTGTATTAAATATGTTCCTTGAATACAATACCGTCTTAGCGTCATTAAACATGATTATGGGTATGAAATGGTGTACACAATACAATTCAAAGGGAGTTCACATTGATAGTACATCCATCCTTTTTCCAAACTTCCGCTTAATTGAATGTGCACTTGTAGTTAACTTTAAATCTTAAAAAATCTGTACTTGCAGGTAATATAATATTAATGAAATAAAAAGCCACTTAAGTGTATTACAGAGAATACACTTTCATGACTGTTTCTTAACACACTTAAGTGCACTTTGTTATAATGTCAAATGAAGTGCATTTTAAATCAGTGTTTTAATATTTTGTTGTGCTTTAAAGAAACAAAAACTTCGCCAGTGTAATAACTGTTACTTATTATTGTAATAAAATGTTCATAATTAACGATTTTCTCAAAACATAATAAAATCTTGAGCTCATCATGTAACAACATTTTTTACATTATGAGAAATGTACATTATAATTACAGTATTACACAGCTTTTAAACCATGCAAAATATTAGTATTCCCTTAAAGTACATTTAAAAAAAAATCTAAATCCAGTCTTAAACCACCTGTGAAATACAACAGATTGAAATATTCATGCAATTATTATAATATTAATAATCTTTACTATTATTATTAATTTATTTTTATCAAACATAAAGCATTGGTATTGCTTTACAGTACATTTACATGTACATCTTGACCTGCCTACAAAATTCAGCAGATAAATTCTTATTTATTTCTACTTAAGTGTGTCAAAGAAGCACTCTTAAAATCAACTAATTGCATTTAAAATAAAGTAAAATACATTTTTTTATTTAATTGTGAATAGCATGCATTACATTTAGATCGCACTTCATTATATTATTTCTGAGCTAGTATGCTTTTTAGTATGCTAAAGTGAACTTCTTTTTCGCAAGGGCCTGTAAAGTTCTAAAAAAATCTAAACTGTTTGCATGCTTCAAAACAACAACAAAGATGCATAAAAATCTGATTGATGCATAAAAGTTTCTGATTGAAACTTTTCTTAAGTCCTGTGAAGATACAGAGAGTTTCAAATATTTAAAAACCAAATATTTGATTTCCCACGCTGTAAAAAAATATTGCTGGTTTAACTTTAAAAAAATAACTTTTAAAAACTTTTAACTTTTAAAAAAGAAGTAATCTGATTGCCTTAAAATTTTAAGTTCATTGAAATGGAAAAAATTAGTTAATACAATGAAGGAGATTGATTTAATCATCAAAAACTCAAAATATTATGCTATCTGAACTACATAAATTAAGTTGATTTGACAAAAGAAAAAATGTTGTGATTACAAATCATGAAAATATTTTTTTACAGCAGTCTTACAGGCCTGGATCACATAAACACGCACACATCCACAGCACACACAACATGTGGTATAATGATGGTGACTAATTAACACTGACATAGTGAGGTCACTATGATTTCTAAAGAATGGAACAGTATGGATACATACAGTATCTGTTTGAAGCTAGCTATTATGGGGCAAGTGCAAAAAATATTTCTGAAAAGATGACCGTTAAAGAAGGAAGAAAGGGATGCTACACACACACATACATGGACATTCACCAATAACAACAGAACCGACATGACCGATTGGATCCAGGCCCTTTTAAGTCAAAGAGAACAGAGAAACAAGTGAATGGACAGAGTAACAGAAAATAAAAAACTTGACTCGCCGAAGCCCCTCGTAACATAGAGAGTTCCAATGATAAATATCGCCAGATTGTTTTTGGCAGACTGTCTGATATACACACTGTCTGGAACAGAGATATGAGATAATCTCATTAGCAGGATAAACCAGACCAATGATGTCATCTAAAAAAAAAAAAAAAACATAACAAACCCTAAAAGCCCAATGTATTTTTGTCCACAACGCACTATATGTTAAGCAGCTATTTCACATATATTCTTTTCTGTGACAGTTTCCTGTAATCGCAATAGCATAAAGTAAATGCATATAATGCACTCAAGTGCATTTGCAATCATTAGACAGAGGCTTTATTCAACAGTGATTTAGAAATGAAGACATCACAAGCATCATAAGAACAAATAATATTTGCAGTACACAATGCCATGTCTAAACTAGAAATTTGGACAAGCTGCATGAAAAAGTAAAAGCGCATCAAGTGGTGATGCATTTCATACATAAAATATTTTTTTAAATTGTTAAATGATTAAGTTTGAGCCCTTCAGTTTCAATCAGACCTAATGGGAATCTCATGTTTCAGGGCTTTTGTGCCAAACATAACAATCCAAGCTTTCAAAAAGAAGTTGCAAATGAAAAAAATAACGTGCTTATTTCATCCTGCCAATCACAACACACTTTTCTTCACTCCTTCGACAAGTCGTCCGGCATCCCTTCAGTGGCCCAGCTGCACCTGTATTTCCTTAATTAGGTCCAGGGGGAAAGAATGCTTGTGCCCATGCATTAGAGACCGTAAGAAGGAGGAAAAAAACAGTAAATTGTCATTTTGTTCCTATAAAATAGGCTATATGAACATGTGAACCTGAGAAAAGGCTTCACTAAATCATGTCATCATGCTGAGCAATGATTTTACTGTGTGTTTGGTCAGGTATCCAGAAATACAAGCACACTCAAATAGTCTCCATGTGAAACAGCAGCAGGTGCTGAGCTACAGTGTTGGAGTGTGTATTCAGGACCGTTATAAACCATTAACCTTGTCACAGAGTTAGATTATGATATACACGCATGTATGTGTCCCAGCTGCTAAGCTTCATAATAAAGAGCAGAAGTGCATACCCTCTGTCATCACTATACTCAAACTCGCTCACATCCCCCAGTCCTCGACAGGTGTGTTTCCTCACTTGATTTTGCCGTCATTTGGGCATCCTGTGTCATGCCTTCAAACTTACACTAAACAACTGTCCAAATGCACCATGATGGACATCTCTCAGGAGGCTTGGGTGCACTTTATCTGACCGTACTCTCATTCCTGTCAAAATTATGTTAATTGGATGATGTGGTTCAATCCATGGTCATTATATTCAGCTGTGCAACTACGTTTTATATTAAAATGTTTCCAACAAGTGTTGCAACAAGTTATGAAAACTTTTTTTGCCTAATCGGAAAAACAACAACAACAACAACAAAACGTTATTCGTCACAATCATGAGTTTATTTCTCATGACTTTATATTTCCCAATTGAATTGTGACTTTATATAATACAACAATGATAATAGCTTGTTTTCACGTGACGTCACACCACTGCGTTGCCATGGCGCGAAACGCAGATGGACGGTAGGAAGTGATTTTCTATATTTAGGAAGCACTATAATACACTCAAAGTGCCTATGTTTTGCGTCGTTTATGGTTGCTCAAATCGATCAAACCGCACGAGGAGTTTTTATCGTGTGCCAAAAGTTGTTGGAGGAAAATACAAGAAATTGACAGAAAAACACCGGGAAAAAATCCCTTGCAAACCTACGTCTGTGGTTGGGAGGAGCCGAATGGGATAATGCCTGTGTGTGTGTGTGTGTGTAACACAGTCTCATCCCAAAAAGTCATATAACTGACGTCTTGGGACGTTTTTTGACCATACGTCAATATCCGCCTTTTTAGGGCCCCCTTAAACGTCGGTAGATGGCGATCCCGGGCCGTCATACAACTGACGCTTTACCTTTAACGTCAGTTAGGTGACGGGTTAGGTTTAGGGTTAGGTTTAGGTATGGGGTAGAGTTAGGATCCCATAACCTCATCTACCGACGTTTAAGGGGGCCCTAAAAAGGCGAATATTGACGTATGGTCAAAAGACGTCCCAAAACGTCAGTTATTTGACGTCTTGGGATGAGACCGGGTTGGTGTGTGCAGTGATCACTTCGTCAAATGTGAGTTAATACATTATTTATGTGGCTTATAATTACATTATTCTTGTGTTAAAATACACTTATGTGGCTGTTTGTGTAACGTACCAGTTTCCGAACTTTGTAAAGTCAAAGTATGTCTGTAAGACGAGGTAGTTGCTGATATCTATAGCCTCGATGGCAGGCAAATCTCTCAATTCAGTTGAAAATCGGTCCCCTTCATAACGGATCACGTCCAACATATGTTTCGATTTTCTGTTTAACACAGTCTCATCCCAAAATGTCATATAACTGACGTTTTGGGACGTATTTTGACCATACGTCAATATCCGCCTTTTTAGGGCCCCCTTAAACGTCGGTAGATGGCGATCCCGGGCCGTCATGCAACTGACGCTTTACCTTTAATGTCAGTTAGGTGACGGGTTAGGTTTAGGGTTAGGTTTAGGTATGGGGTAGAGTTAGGATCCCATAACCTCATCTACCGACGTTTAAGGGGGCCCTAAAAAGGCGAATATTGACGTATGGTCAAAAGACGTCCCAAAACGTCAGTTATATGACGTCTTGGGATGAGACCGGGTTGTTCTGTTTATATATTTCTCTTGTAATAGCATCTAAAGTAGTACGGATTTTCCTCCATCTCGTCCATTGCGTTCTTCACTCCTTGCCCTCCATCTGCATTCCGTGCGTCAACACAATCATGTGACTGCAAACCACCTATTAAGGGTGGAATACACTACTTGAATATCGCCCAGGTTTTTGCTGTGATTTACAGTCTGCCAAAAGTCAAAGCTAGTCTGCAGATTTTGGTCAGTCATAGTTCACTTAAAATCATGTA